CTTTGGCTCGTTTGTAGCCCCTCTTAGACATCATCCCTTGTCCCACCTCAGAGGCTGGAGAGCCGGGCCGGGGAGTTATCGCTGATCCGTGATCCCTGGTGATGTCTGAGAGACGTCAGCGCTCCCGTCAGGGTTTGGGAATGTCGGCGCCTCAAGGCAGAGGATTTTTTTTGTTGCGGTTTAATTAAGAGTTAGGCTTTTAAGTGCACGCGGAGCGTGCTGTGCAGCCAGCCCTCTCCCGGCTCTGCAGGGCTGACGAGGGCTGGGAACCGAGCGCGTGTGTGCAGCCTGCACGGCGGTGGCACAGAGTTCTCACCCCGCGCCCAGGCAGTGCCATCACCACAAACGGGCGCCTTGGCAGCACCATGGGCTCCGCGGGGCAGGCCCGGGGGGTCCCCAGGAACCCCCGTCATCGCGTGGGGCTCCTGGGGAAGCACAGTGGGTTGCGGAGGAGAGCTGGCAGGATGTCGCCATTGATTCCTGGGAACGTCCCTGGGACACGCGGTGCTGGTCCTCCCCATCGCAGTCAGTGACTGTTATCCTGGGGGGGAGTTTTCCTCTCCCCTTCCACTTGCAGGAGATGCCGTCAGTGTCCGTGCTGGACTACGCTCTGCCTCAGAGACCTCCGCAGCGTCGAGAGGCAGCGCGTTTTTCGCGCTGCCCTGGCTTTGCGCGTCCCCTGTCATCGGGAGCCCCCCTGTCCGGGCTGTCCCCATCGGCACCCCTCCCAAGCAGGCTGCCGTGCCCAACTTCAACCAACAGGTACCTCCCCCCGGCCCCGCTCGTAGCTCAGAGGGCGCAGGCTGGTCCCCGAGGAGCTGACGAGGGGACTGTGCTGCTTCCCTCCTCCTAGATCCTGTGTCCGAAGCCTGTCCACATCCGAGCTACCATGCAGCAGCGCTACCCCGCTCCCTACGGCGAGAGGATGTCCCCCAACCAGCTCTGCAATGTACCGGTACCCAGCCCGCTCTGCCGCACTGCCTTCGAGCCCCACACCCATTGCTGGGAGCTCTTCCAGCCTCCCCAGAACCCCCCAACACACTGTTCCCTTCCTCCCACCTGCAACTCCAGGCCCTGATGGGGTTTGACCGTCGCTGTCACACTCAGCCAGCTGGCTGCTTGTCCCTGCTTCCGTAGCTTGGCCCGTCTGCCTCATCCCGGCAGATCAGCCCCACTCCCTGGAGCCTGGCCTGGCTCCCAGCCTGCCCAGGGCACTCTCCTGGGGCTTCGTCTTGTGCCGTCGCCCGCTCCCCATCTGCCCACCATCAGCTGTGCCGGGGCTGTGACCGGGGCTCCCTTTTCCTTTCTCTTTTCCCCAGAATTCCTCCCTTCTGGGCCACCCGTTCCCCCACAGCGTCTCTCCCGTCCTCACCCACCTGCAGCGAGCGCAGCTGCTTGGAGGAACCCAGGTGAAGCCCCCTTCGCTCCCTTCCTGCGCTTTCCTGGCCCTGCTATGGGCCCAGTCCCGCATTTCTCTTCACGGGACTGCAGGAGCTGGCTCTGCGTGGCTCTTTCTGGCCATCCCAGACACAGCTGCCCTGGCTCGGCCTTTCCCTTTGCCCCCAAATCCCCGCCCCGGCTGACTCCGGGCACCCTCTCTGCTCTGCCAGGCTGGCCGAATGTCCCCCAGCCAGTTTGCCCGGGTCTCTGGCCTGGTTGGGAGCCCCCTCCCCTCCGTCAATCCCAAGCTGCTCCAGGGCAGAGTCGGGCAGATGATGTCTCCGGCCAGCGGGTTTCGTGCCTTCTTCGGGGCTCCCCCGGCTCCCCCTCCCTCGCAGCCGCAGGACCCGCCCGGGCCC